CCAGCATCCCCCAGTGTTGTCAGCTCTCCCATCATCTGTGAGACACAAGACAGTCCCGGGTCATGCCAACGTGCAGTAGAATCTAGACTCCCAGCATACCCCAGTGTTGTCAGCTCTCCCATCGTCTATGAGACACAAGACGGTCCCAGGTCATGTCAATGTGCAGTAGAATCTAGAGACTCCCAGCATCCCCCAGTGTCAGGTCTCCCATCGTCTGTGAGACACAAGACAGTCCCAGGGCATGCCAACGTGCAGTAAAATCTAGACTCCCCGCATCCCACCAGTGTCAGCTCTCCCACCATCTGTAGTCACCAGGGCCTTGTTTTAGTCTTCTGAGGCAAAATAATTTCATCATGTCTGTGCAGCTCTGAACTAAGCATGCTCCTCTAACCATATCTGTTGTTGTTGACTGCCTTCAAGTCGAGCAAGGCTCAGAGCGACTCTATGAACAAAAGGACTGAAGTCTTTCTATAACTACCGGCATTTATCAAAGTTCATAGTGTTTCTGGAGGCATGTTGTTTAGAAAGTGGATGCCCAGAAGTTCTGGGTCAACATTAAGCGAGGAGCACTCATGTCCACAAGTGGTTCCCACTTACCTCCGAGCCAATTTTGGCTCCATGCAGCGTGCCATGCTGTCTTCCTTCAATCATCCCCAAGCTGCTGCCTTCTGCATACCCTTCCTGATAGCCTTCCCCATGAAACCTGTGACAGAGAAGCAGCACGTCTGAGCACATCAACAGGAGAGGGTTTTTCCTGGGGAAAAATGTCCAAGAGTGCAGTAGGAAGAGTACAGAATTCAAGAATCAGAAGACACGGGTTTCAATCCCAGCTTTCCCACTTCCCAAGTGTCTCCTCTGGTAAATGAAAATGCCCTCCAGCTGCTTTCCCACAGGAGGAAAGTGGAGGATATCCGTGACTCTCAGAACTGGGAGGGAGAAAGCCACGCAAGAGGCCACATTAAAGACATAAAGTGGAGAGTGTTGCTGGCCTCAGTGCAAGGTGGAGCCTGTCCTCACTAAGTGAAGTCTCTCCTGTCAAGTTGGCAGTGGAGCCGGGCTGACTTGCCAGTGGGCTTCCGAGGCTGTGACTCACACGGCAGGGGGCTGCCTGTCTCTCCCCTCCGAGCAGCTAACCTGGAGGCCTCACTGCTCCTCCCAGATTAGGCCAGATGAGCCCCCCAGGGCACAGGAAGGCCAAGGAAAGCCTTTCCAAACCTCTGGAGGGAAGGGGAAGAAGCAGGTGAGGGAACTGCTGGGTGATGACAACTTGGTCAAGTGCTTCAAAGACCTGCAACACGCAGGCTCTCTCATCACATCCGGTGGGAAGGCCATGACAAGTGCCACCTGATCGCTACAAAATGTACAACTGTCGTATTGAAGACTACTGCTGTCAAGTCAGTTCCAATGCACAGACGGCCACAGCCCAGGGCAGACCTGCTCCACAGTGTTTCTCAGGCTTTTAATGTTATAGAAATGTCCCCTGGGGGTGCAATGGTTAGAGCACTCTGCGTTAGAGCACTCTGTGGCTGGTTGTGAGGCTGGCTGGTTGAACTCAGCAGCAGCTCCAAGGGAGAAAAACAAGACATTCTGCCTCTATATGGATCCCAAAGTTGGGGACCTTTTGGGGCTGTTCTACTCGCTTCGGGGAAGAATGACGGCGAGTCAGTCTTTACGGAAGCCAACCATTGCATCTTTCTCCTCTGGAGCAGAGCGGCAGGTGGCTGTGGCCCCATTCTATGCTCCCTGCCGATGGTGGTAGATGGGGCATACACTAAAGGCATTGAATTCGAGGGCTCAGCTACAAAACCGGCACCATCTGAGCCCCCAGTTCCACAAAATGACAGGGGAGGCTTAGAGAGGCCCGTGAGGCACTGTTTAACAATTATGTGGCCCTGGGGAGTGACCCTGTCTGCTCATCTGTGAAATAGGAAAATAACAGGAGATGAGCAAACGGGTGTGGCCACTTAACTCAGTGTCTGGTTCACAATAAGCACTCAATGCATTTCGGCTGGCTGATCGTTCAAGGTTCACTCGCTTCTCTGCCTGACATTTATTGGTGGTCTCCGGTGGGCTGGGCGCTGGAAGGCGGCCACCAGGCAGCTCGCTGCCCGAGAGGGTCCCCAGTGGCTCTGCGGGGACCGAGATGACGTCCGACACATTTGTCAGCAGAGCCATGAATACGGCCGTATGTCCTCCGCCGAGCGAACAAGGGAAAGTGGCAGCGCCCAGATGGCAAAGGTCTGTCCCACCCGAGGACGGGGCGTCGCCGGGGCAAGCGAGCCATCAGGCCGAACAGATGCGGGGGCAGCCCCGGCCGAGGAGGCGGGTCCGAGCAGCAGCTGGGCACGTGGCGCCGGCCCAGGCGGCGGGGGGGAGAAAGGACACGCAGCAGCCTCTCGGTCCCTAGAGTCCCAGAGGGACCACGGGCGGCCGTCCCGCCCCCCGCCCGCAGCAAATCGGCCCGCGGCCACCCACCTCTCGTCGGCCATCACGATGTCATCGAACATGTCCGGACTCCCGGCCATGGCGGCCCCGCGGCCTGGCTCTGCCCCTCGGGTCGCGATCACTCAGCTCTGCGGCCGCCCAGACGCGAGGCTCCAGGACAAGCCCCGAGCTGTCATCGCAGCGCAGCTACTTCCGGGAGCGGCTGCGCGGAGCAGGCTGGGAAACGACGGCACGCGGGAGGGGCCAGTAGGGTTGGTGCGACCGGGACACCGGGGCCGGCGGTGGGCGGGGCCTGCCCGACGAAACCCCGCCCCCAGGGCTCCCGCGCTGCCGCCTCGTTCCCACGTGGACGGACCTGCACGTTGGGGTGTGTCTACCTGTCGGGGGGAGCCAGGCAGGTCCAGAGGACCCGAATGCGGACTTTCAAAATCAAAATGAAAATGCCACCCAAGCAGATATATGCACACCCATGTTTACTGCGCCTTTGTTCACAATAGCAAAGAGCTGGAAACAACCTAAGTGCCCATCAATAAATGAATGGATAGAGACGCTGTGGTCTATTCGCACAATGGAATACTACGCTGCATTGAAAAACAAGGAACTCATGAAAAATTATGCAAAATGGATGACCCTGGAGGACATTATGCTTAGTGAAATATCTCAGTCACAAAAGGACAAATATTGCAGAGGGCCACTGTTGTAAAATGGGACTGACATTGGGATTGAGGGAAGACAGAAAAGGAAGGGAGGAATGATGTATACCGCATTGAAACAGATAAGGGAGAGAACTGTTTAAAAGGGACATGGAATGGGTATTCTTGTCATTACAGAAGTCCAGAGTAAAGGCTGCATAGTGGAGTGGACTTGGGGGTGGGGGGATGGCATAACAATGAAAGAATTTTTCTTTTTTCTTTTCAAGTAGAAAAGTGAATTGGGGAGGGGGGGAGAAAAGTGCAACAATGAATGACTGGAAACCCTAACTCTCTGTAAACTTTCATTAAAATTACGTTTAAAAGAAGAAAACAAAAAAATAGAATAAAACAAAATAAAGATGAAAAGCAAACGAAACCAAATTCACAAGTGTGGTTCAAGAAAAAGCACAAGAGACATTGGCAAAGTGATGAACTAACACCACCGAACTTCCAGGCCAGTAGGGATGGGAGCAGAAGTCCAAGGAAAGGGGTCGCTGAGGGTGAAGCCAGCCCAGGAAGGGGCGATCTCGGGGACCCTAGCACCCAGGACAAGAAGCCAGAGGAGGATGTTACACACAATGCAGTTAGATTTGAGATACATAGTAAAGGGCTGGCCATTCCAACTTCATCAAATTGATTAGGAAATTGGAAACACCAGGGCAAGAAACAGCTTGATCTCAATCAAAACGTTAAAGTGGATTTGATTCCCATTCATGGCGACCCCAAGTGCTTGTGATTAGAACAGATCTCTGTTCTTGGTTGCACTGCATTTTTGGGACGCAGGTTACCAGGGCTTTCTCTTGCATTTCTGTTTGGTGAGTTCGTTTACCAGTTCCTGGTTCCCTCTCCACGATTACCTTAATATTTGGTGAAAGACAGATAATCCATTTTTTGCCAGTTCATGAAGTTTAAAATGTTACTTGAAAGTTATAAACAAGAAGGGATTTGGTGGTCAGTTTTTTTAAAACAAAGTAATTAATGTATAGAGTCAAGAGTCAGTGTTTTGCTGTTTGGCGACAACCCTAAGCCCCTTCTCCTAGCTACCCTCGGTGCACAGAAGAGCTCATTCCTGCTCTTGTGCCATCCTGGTGATCTCAGCTGTACTCAAGCCCATTGCTACAGTCACTGCGTCAGTCCGTCCTGGTCTCCCCTTTCTTTTTTTTTTTT